ATAAACAGTAGTCTACATCGGCTATATCTGCCTCACCAAACTTGCTATTTCTTGCTTGCTTGAAGTCCGGCAAGCCTGCTTGCCGCACACGGTCACCTCCCGCACCTCTCTGACTGGAGTTTGTGTACACTAAGGTGGGCAAAGTGAGCGTATCTGCGTAATGCCAACCACGAGAGCCGAGCGGAGGAAAACAAATGTGCTTGCCCTTTGTGCGTTAGTAGTGTTCCGTATCATCATAGACTCGGCGTATCATAGTCTATGCACTCCGACCATCATTTTTTTTTCTTGTTTCTTCAATCCGTGCTCGGCGTGGCGAAAACAAGTTCTACCCCATCCGTACCGGTCGTGAGGGACGAGACGAACGGAATATCTATCCCGCCTCCCACGCGGGAGGCAAACACATACGCCAGACAACAAAACGCATAGAGGAGGACAGAGCCATCACCCTTGACGGTCAACGCATGGAATCATATACCCGTAGCCATTTGGCTCACCCTACAGCCACCTTGTAGGCTACTCGACCTTGTACAAGACCCTGTCGCACCGTGGCAGTGTCCATACCCTTGAGAAGGTTATACACTGCCACACCCTGGCTAGATATGGGTCTGGGCGCGATGGTGTACCAGCATGTTCGCCCGAAAAGGAGACAGAGGTGCCTCACCACCGACGAAACGGCACTCTGGACAGTTGTGCGGCGCATTAATTAAACACATTTTTTCTCTTTGGGACACACACGGCCGGGCACCCTCGGCCGGCAAAGCCTGACAAGGTCATGTACTGCGACACCCTGGCTAGATGTGGGTCTGGGCACGATGGAGTACACCCGCACACTCGCTCGAAACAGAGACTAAAGTTGTGTGCCTGTAGACGGACAAACGGTCGTCGGGGACACAACAGCAATGTATCTACGGAGTGGGCGCTGAGAACGTTTTTTTTTTTGGAACCGGGGGCGGCACCCCCCGCCGTGCCGAGTCGGGCAGGTGTACACCATTTCCTTCCGCCGTGCAGTATAAGTCATAATACACATACATGTGTAGTTTTCGTTGCACGCCGCGCAAATGTGCGAGCGTGCCTCCGTTTTTTTTAGGTCGGACACACGACACCAGGCACACAACAGAGAGGCAACACCGCGGCCGGCAGTATATATACTTCGTATACTTCTACTTGCAGTTCTGAATCTGTCTTTTTTCGGCGAAAAAAAGCACAACAACACACACTCTGCCCGCGCATGTGCGCATCCCTCGGCGATCATCCCCACTATTCTCGTATTGAAGCATTGACTCTCCAACAGGGGAAGAAAGTAGGCGGATTACTTCGTAAACGTATGATTTAGTCTACGTTTCATGACGTATTGGGGTGGCTGTTATGCCCCTTCAGGCTGCAGCCCGTTCACCGCGTGATGTCCGTGAGCCGNCCCCACTATTCTCGTATTGAAGCATTGACTCTCCAACAGGGGAAGAAAGTAGGCGGATTACTTCGTAAACGTATGATTTAGTCTACGTTTCATGACGTATTGGGGTGGCTGTTATGCCCCTTCAGGCTGCAGCCCGTTCACCGCGTGATGTCCGTGAGCCGGCATATCGCCCAACTGCTGTAGCCTTCACCCTGTTCCGCCCGCACGGACCGCACCGCCATCTTTTTTTGCGCATGGCGAGCAAGCGGGGGGTAGGGGAGGCCGTCAAGTCAGCGCCGAGAGGGTAAATCATAGAAAAGTACATACATCTGGCGAAGGCGAACGCGGGAGAGTAGCAAGCGATCCAAGGTGTCGGCTCTGACACGCCTGACGTGCTCAGACGAAAATGTCTTGGTTGATGGAGTGGTGACACTCATTCAATTATGTACTTGTCGTACCCGGTGGTCCCCGGCGTATCCTGGCGGAATCTGTGGCGCCAAGCACCAGCCCCATGACCCAACCCTTCTCCGCCCGTCACTACCCCGCAAACGTGAGAGCTGCCAGCTTCACCTTCGCCTCTCAGCGAGCATGCGTGGTAGAGATGAACCTGCCGATAGATGGCAGATACAGGATACACCGCCGGACGGCCGCGGGCTCGAAAGTTCAGCGTCGGATGCCCGGTGATAGAATCGGAGACGCGGTCGTTGGCGTGAGCAACCCCATTGTAGTCGTAACCGAGCACCCACCACGTGAGCGGTGGTGGGTTCCCACCCATTACAGGCCGATTGCCCTCGTGGCGGAAGAAGTACAGAATCTTCACCAGGGCTAGATCTGTAGGATCCGCACGGCCCGCCGCGGGCATCGGGGAAAGTTGCTCATACACCTCTACGTTGTCCCCTCCGCCACTCCCGAGAGCCCACTCGTCACGCGGCCCAGCCTGCGCCGCCGACTTCACGTCTCCGCCCTTCAAGCGACCAAGGCCACAACTTGCTACCATGGGTACCCGGGTGTACCGGGAGCTGTCGATGGAAACTTGTTGAAGGGTGTCTCCGTCCCAGCAGTCCGGGCAGCGGCTGCTTGAGCACGGACCCGCCATGCCGCATCCGTAGTACGTCCGGTATGCGCGCAGTAAGGTCTGTTCGTCTGGGCGGAACTTGCTGGACGCCAGGCGAGTACGCCACTCGCCATCTAGCTGCTGCTCGTCCCCGTTGTTGAACAGAGAAGCGGTCCAAACCGCAGATCCCGGGTACTGTCCGCTAAGCTCTGCTGGCGTCTGATCCGCCTCCGCGTGATTATCTGTGGGCGCGCGGTCATGGCCGAGGGAGCTCGCCAGCGACTGCATGAGACGGACACAGCCATCACCGGGTTGAACGGTGACGATCTCGTGCGTTCTGTTCTGTCGGTTGTACCGAGTGCCTCTGTACGGCAGGCCGTTGGATAACGCCAAGAATGCGCTGTTGACGTTCGCCCGCAAGGCCATGTGCAGTGCAGCCCTCCTACCGCAGTCCACACCCCTTCCAGACTTGTTCACCTGGTGGGTGTGTTCACCCGTGCTGGCGTCCGGGCATATTCCTAGACGTTTCGTTCAACGTGTGTTGCAGGCGGCGAGATGTCACGTGAGGAGCTCGGCGTGAGGGCGTTTTTCAGGTAAACATGGACGGTGAAGCACTATCAAAATGCTTGGTTGAGCGGTGGGTGAGTGGCGCATCCTCCCCCCTCCTCCTCCCCCCCGCAATGCCCATCGTGTCTTTCGGCGGTGTTCTTAGCTGCAACGATCCAGCGAATGGTGTTTAACAAGGCCAAACGTAACCCACGACCCACAATCCATATTCCAAACGCTCTCACCGTGCAGACGAATCGCCTCTACCGCATGTAGGATGGAGTGTATGGGCCGCGATCCCGTCCTCCCCAATATTTTGGAAATGGCGTCGACCTGAAAGGCGAGTACGTCACGAGTCATTTTCTTGCCATTCTCTTTACTTTTTGTGTAGCACGAGGTGGTAAAATCTTCTGTAAAAAGTCTGAACACTAGTTGTTGTTGTTGTTGTCTTCACATTAAAAACCATCCCGGTCTCTCTATCCAGTACCTCCTTCTGTCTCAATCTCTCCGTACTAATCCAGCACTTGACTCGGTCAATTTCCGTGGTCACAGGCTAACGTACCTAGAAAAGGTATACCAAAATAAAATGGACCCCAAGGGTTAGCAGAGCGATAAAATATAAGAAAACAAAAGAATCAGACACAAATAAATAAATAAATAGTGGAACGTGCGCACCACCAGCCTGGGGGGTACTAGTAGGGATGAAAATTGTCCTGTATTCTGTTGTCATGAACTTTTGTGCGCAGACACTTTGCATTTGTTTTTTGTTGTTTGGGCGGCGTCACGTGTCGTGTATAGGTACCAAAGCATAGACACCAAAGAATTTGGCGATCGCTCCACGCCCAGCAAATACGGCACCAACCAGAAACGGCCCACCGTCGCTTTGACGTAAGACAGCAGGGGTGCTTTAGCGCACCAAACTTGTGTATCAGCTCTCCGACGCAACCAAACGCCCGATGTGGACGTAAAAGTCGTGGGCGTTCAAGGCACGGTGTTTTCCATTGCAACCTTTGTGGGCGTTTTTTCTATGTTTCGCGAGAAGTCGGAGACAAAAAATATCGACCTGGTCTTGTGTTTGTTTTGTTCTTGTTCCGATGGACACGACGCCCCCGCGCTGAATGCTTGAACCTCTCGCAAGCGATGGCATTTTGCGATCAAACCAGCTGTATCGTGGGGCTTTACTGCCACGTGTGATTGTAGGAGCGACGACGCAGCGACAGGGTGTGGCCATGCGGCCGTTGGCGCGGGCCATCGTGCCCTCTCTAGTATTGTCCTACTGCACGCAGAGTCAAATTTACGCGTCCCCCTCAAAAGAACGAACTGACAAAGAGGATCGGAACATACCGCGTCACGCGCGAGTTTGTCGAGTTGCCGTAGCTCCGGTTCGGTGAAAGATGGCGCGCGGAGGGCGAACGACAGGAGAGACGACCGTTTCCTTAGCTCCCGCAGCGCCTACAAGACCTTGTCGTACGTTCCCCACTCCGTGACGAGGTCTTTGATCTCCCTTGTCTTCATGTTTCTCCTCTGCCAGGTAAACATCATGGCCGGGAGTCATGACCGCAGCAAACAAGGGCCGAGGCGTCTCCCTATACCGTGGTGAGGTGCCGCCCTTTGACGCACCTAAAATGCTACCCTCTGTGTGGGTAGTTAGAGTGAGGCACGTCGAGATTCGCTCGTGCGTGTGGATCTTACCTACTGTGATTCCTCTGCGAAAGAACTGTGGAAGGACAACCAAAATACCAAGTGTTCTACTTCTGCAAACAGAAAACGTGTACACAACTTCGAGAGGGGTGATGTGCACCGCGCCGCTGCCAGAGAGTACCGGGTGAAGTTATGGTCACGCTTCTCGTACTCTAGCCAGGGAGGGGTACGAAAACGAATGTATAGCTCTGTAAACCGTAAGAAGAATGGAAGCGGGAGAGATTCCGTTCGGCGGGATATAACTCATGAGTTCATGCATGTATTGTATGCAATACTACGAAGTAGTGGCTTCTCTCAGGAACCACGAATGCCTGACTACGCTACAAAATGTACTTATCATTGCCGAAACATCCTGGAGAACCATCCAGAATACGAGAAGCATGATCGATTGCAATGTCCACTTGTCGCTGCCATTCAGAGAGGCGTAGTTGGTCACGACATCCTTCAGCTTCCGCGTTCCGGGTGGGTAGAGTAAAGACGGCTTTTGGGCCATGATGGCTGAGACAAGCCGGCGACCTGCAGTGGAGAGCATCTCCAAGAAGAACACCTGGCAAAGCTGACTTTGCCCCTACCGGCAACGGTGGTGGGATGCGGCGCAGACAAGGAGAGAATGCAGCACGTAGCCGACGAGGTGATGGTGTGGGCGATCACAACAACCGTCGTTCCACTACTTACTGAAGTGCATGCGTCGGAACTTCGAACCTCTTGAGGACGGCGTATTATCTTCTGCTTGGAGTTCTAGGCGTCTTTCGACGTGGTCAACGTGTGTCCCCTGGAAGTCTCTCACACGCAGGGTAAGTTTGTATGAAAACATCACTCACCAGCGCATCGAAGTGCAGTCGCTCGACGGGTACGTTCTCCGTCGGAGCAATGCGCATGGCGGTGTATAGAGGGAGGGGGAGCCCTGAGGCATCCGGCGGAACCAGTCCCAGGTCTCTTGATCGTCGATCCTGCTCGTGAGGGACATCCGCGAGGGCATCCAGCTCGGACAAGCCATTCGTTATCTGGCCCCATGTGCGGCGATGCTTGTCGATGTCGAACCTTGGGTTCCCCAGATCGCCGCCGGTGTCATCGTCGCGCTGACTCACCATGCAGTACGCGCACGGATGTTTGGACCAGTTGTTGGGAGGCTTCGTGCCGAGAAATTTCGAGCGCCCTTGTCCATCCCCACACATCAGCAGCAGACCGCCTCGAACAAAAACGTGGCGGGTGGCAACATTTTTGCGGAATCGTGGCGGGAACGCAATTTTGTCGGTGTGTTGGTGCAGTGTTAGTCAGATTATAGTGCGTTACCCGAGCAAAGGCCACCGGCACCCGTATACGCACTAATAGAGGCATACCTAACGCCGACACGTTGCCGTACGGGAAATTGGCATGAACTGAACCAATTATTCAACTCAGACTGTATAATAACCCCGCACAGATAACTACTGTTGTCGGTCTTCCATGATCTCAGTGAACCTAGACCGTACCTCTTGCTCAAACGCCGCCCCTTCTTCGTCTGTCAGCTTGCACCGCCCCACGCATCCATTTTGTAGCAGTCCGAGTATTTCGCACTGCAGGCCGGTCTCCCCCTGGCTGAAAGCTCCCGGGCTCGCGAGAGTGCCGACGTGCGTTTGATGTTTCAACCGCTGAACCGCTGGCGTTCGCCATGCCCATCCAAAGTAGGACCCTCCTATGGAATGGTGTGAACCACAACATCGCATGCATGTGCATAGACGAAGGATGGAGGAATCACGGTGAGCTATTGACACTCAACGGTTGGGAGATGTGCCGGAACTCGAGGAGGTGGCACGGGCAACAAAAGGCCTCAAGAACTGGAAGGCACCCGACCATGACTCCCTCCCTGCCGAGTTGCTCAAGATCGATGACGACGAACCCTTCGTCCTGGGACACCTCCATACCATCCTCGTCAAGGTGTGGAACGGAGGAGATATTCCGCGAGAGTGGAAGGATGCAACCATCAAGGTGCTGTACAAGAAGGGTGACCGGTCCAACTGTAACAACTACAGGGGGATTTCGCTACTATCTCACGTAGGCAAGGTCCCCATCAAGATCATCACCAACCGTCTAAGCGCCTTCTGCGAAGCCAACAACATCCTCCCGGAGGAACAGTGCGGATTTCGACCCGGGCGATCCACCGTCGACATGCTGTTCGTCGTGCGCCGTCTCCAGGAGCTGGGGCGGAGAAAGAAAATACCGCTCTACACGTGCTTCGTCGACTTGAACAAGGCGTATGATTCGGTGGACCGAGAGATGCTATGGAAGGTGCTGGCCAGGGCCGGGATTCCCGCGAAGCTAATCGAAGTCATCCGCCAATCCCACGATGGAATGCGGGCCCGGGTGCGCATGGACGACGGAGAACTATCGGACTGGTTCTTCGTGACACAGGGCGTGCGACAAGGATGTGTGCTATCCCCACTG